TTGCTTGAAATTTTCTCAGGATTTCGGAATTCGAGTTAGAAGCAGCACCACATAGTTGAATTCCATATGTCCAAATCGGTTTACCGGTTTAAGTACAGCTTTATATAGCAGCAGTTTATTTTTAATTGACAACTTTGATTTTGTTCCGATGAGTCAATACATTTTCCTCCATTTTAGACCCAACTGTTTGCGTTTAGTAAATATATATTCTTTCCATGTAAGTCTTCGATCTAGATGAATACCTAGATATTTTACTTGATTACTTTCTGGAATATATTTTTCGCTTAATCTAATAGGACAGGAATATTTTTAAAGTGTGAATGTCGTATGTATTGATATGCTTTCATTTACTATTATTCTCTAGGAGTTAAATCAATTTTAAAAGTGATTTTTTTTGTAGTTTTGTAATATTTTAGTTGCTATTATTGCCTCCGGGTGTTCTGTTAAAATTGCTGTATCATCTGCATATGTTGCTGTCAAGATATTACGTAATAGATTTTGGTAGGTCCGAGGTATATAACAGATATAGTGTTGCACCTAGAACACTGCTCAGCCGTACTCCTGCTTTTATTAACTGACGTTTTGATACGTTTTTATTTATTTCAACTTAATTTTAACTTTTACTTGGGCTGAGGAACAAATCTCTTGATCTTATGCAGTAGCCCTTTATGCCAAACCTTGTCAAAAACCTGAGCAACATCCAGAAATATACCAATGCAGTATTGTTTATCTTCGATGGCTTTCCTCGTAACAGATACTATTCTACTTACATACTCAATTGTAGAATGTTTACACCTGAAACTAAATTGATGATCAGGGATAAGTTTTCGATTTAGAATTATTGCGTTAATTCTAGCTAAAATTAATTTTTCAATGATTTTGAAAGTGCTGATCAGAACCAGAAGCTTTTCTATTTTTAATATTATTAATAGTTTGCAATAATTCCTTTATTTTAATTGATTTTATTGGTGGACAGTCTTGGACATCAGAGCCTTCTAGTATGATTTCTTCTTTTTAGGCGATTATTCTTTGGTCAGGCTGGAATACTGTACTAAGATAATTTGCGAACGTTTCGGCTTTTTCCTCGACTGATCTTGCCTAGTTACCACCAGGTTTTCTGATAGGTTGTACAAATGTACTAACTTTCCATAATAAGTAATCTTTTGCTTCTGTAGGACTCAATGATCTAAGATAATTCTATGTTGGTGTGTTTTTTTCTTCATATAACATTTTTTAGATCTTTGGTTGCTTTATTTACTTTGTTTTATCTTGACTCAATCTAGTTATTTGATAATTTTTTCTTAATAATCTCTTTTCCTTTATTTTTTGGATTATTTCCATGGACGTACGAGGGTTGTTAAAAACATTTAAGATAGTAGATACGCGTCCCGGGTCGTAGAAATATAGGAAACAAACGGGAACGGAAACTCGATCATTCCCTTTCGAATCGGGACACTTGCCCCGCATGTGTTGCTCGTTAGCAACAGACGGCGGCGGGGAAAACCTAAGGAGGGTTCGCACGTACGAGGAAAAACCCATTTCCCTTGCAGTCGAATGGAAAAATCCAGGCCCAAAAATAGAAACACGCGTTTAGCTCTCGGTTATTTTGTACGATGCGTTTAATTTTAAGATTGTAATGCGGTATTTCTAACTCGCGAATTGATTAATTTGCCAAATCCGAACGCGAGCCTCTCTCATAGCTCTACGCTTCATTGACGTGCACAGGCGCCTAAGCGTTTCTGTGGGCGTAAAGCCCTGACAGATTCGCAGAGTTCGCTCGCGAAGGCTGTAGACCTTTCCAGAAAACTTCGGTTTTCAAAATACAGGTCACTATGACGGAAAGGGAAGGCTATGAGGCCGACCCGTGGACCGGTAGACTACCAAGCGGAAGAGTGAGCGAGACAGAGCGAGCGTAAGGAAGGTATGGCTAATGCGGGCGCGATGGATCAGGCCCAATGAGGCCAACGACTCGATGCAGCCCCGGCGGGGGCGAGAGTAGGGAAGATGGAATAAAGAAGCGACTCGACTCAGACCGATCTTCAATTTTTGTTTGTCACGCGTAGAAAATAGGCAGATTTTGTTCAGAGTGTTGTTAATAAAATATCATTAAAACAAAAAGAAGTTCTTCGGATCAATCAACTTACAAACCCCTTTCTGCTCACTCCCGTCCCTTTCAAGGGTGGTCCTATAAGTACTTAGCCTACAAAAAAAAAACGAAAATTTTGGAAAAGTGGCGTTTTATTTTTCAACATAGTCTCCTTTTAGTTCGATACACTTGGCCCAGCGATGCTCAAACTTCTTTAACCCGTCTGAAAAATACGTTTTCTCGAGGTCTGAAAAGTAGGTTTCCGTGGCAGCGATTACCTCCTCATTCGACTCAAATTTCTGCCCGGCGAATGACTTTTTTAAGTTTGGAATCAAAAAGAAGTCGCACGGAGCTAAATCTGGAGAATACGGTGGATTGGGGCAGCAGTTCGTAGCCTAATTCGACCAATTTGGCCATGGCGACGGCAGAGGTGTGAGCCGGTGCGTTGTCGTGGTGGAAGAGCACTTTTTTCTTCGCCAAACGGGGCCGTTTTTTCTGCAATTCGACGTCGAATCGGCCCAATAATTCGGCATAGTACAGCCCTGTGACCGTTTTGCCCCTCTCCAGGTAGTCGATGTAGATCACACCTTGTGAATCCCAGAAAACGGTGGCCATCACCTTTCCGGCCGATGGGGCAGTCCTTCTTCGGAGCACTTTCGCCGGGTAAAGTCCACTGTTTCGACTGTTCCTTGATCTCTGGTGTATACCAGTGGATCCATGTTTCGTCGACAGTCACGAAACGACGCAGAAACTCCTTTGGATTGCGCTTCAACAGCGTCAGACATTGCTCTGAAGTTGTCTCATGGTTGCGCTTGTTGTCCGGAGTGAGGAAACGCGGCACCCATCGCGCCGACAGCTTTCTCATGCCCAAAATTTCATGTAGGACATGACCTACGCGGTCTTTTGAGTTGCCTACGATCTTAGCTATCTCGCGCACCTTCAATCGTTGATCTGCCAATACGAGATCGTGAATTTTTGTCACATTATTCTCCGTAGTAGCCGTTTTCGAAGCACCTGGACGTGGCTCTTCAAAAATCGACGTGCGACCACGCTGAAACTCGTTAAACCAATTTTTGACGGTCGCCATCGAAGGAGAAGAGCCACCGTACACAGCATCCAAGCGCTTTTTGATTTCGCTGCGCGATTTCCCTTCCAAAAACAAGAATCGAATCACCAACCGATACTGCTCTTTTTCCATTTTTCAAAAATCAACGGACACACTTGCTTTCACACGCTCTCAAAAATAAACTACAACTCCGATCCGGCTGAAATCTTGACAGTAACCGTCGAGAAGGCTGTACTACGTGATAGAATATTTCTTTTGCGAGAGTGGCGCCATCGGGCGGTGAGGCTAAGTACTTATCGGACCACCCTCGTAATTTACTATGTTTTATTTCTATTTATAGTAGTAGAGCATTTGTTAATAGTTTTAGTTAGAATTATGTTTAGTGAGTTGATGCTGCTTTTTACATTATTAGCTGATTTAAAAGGAACGTTGCACGTTATGCGTCCGTGCGAAATTTGAATAGAAAGGATGGTCTTTATAACGGCATCATATTAAAGATATTACATATGTGTGAACATAACTGGAAAGTGGTAATTTATTTCTAGCTATAACAAAGGGAAAATTGCTTTTATTTTACAAATCATTCTAAATACAAGTAAACAAGCTGGGCTACCTTACATGTTATATCGGAAACAATTTCAAATAATTAGCATTACCATAACAATCAATAAATCACAGGGATAAAGCATTGATGAACTTCACATTTATTTATCGAAATAGCAAAAGAAAACTTTGATAAAAATACAATTTAAGATGCCGCACATATCCTACAAAACTGATGGACAGTTATTAACAAACTAGAAAAGAATACAAAAAAGTAAATAAAATAGATTAAAGCATAGACAGCAACAAAAAATGTAAATTGTCCTCATTTAAACAAGAACAAAAATTCTATTTTATCAAAACAATGCATGAGTGCACACTTGCACAGTTAGAATAGTCCAAATTCAGGTTGAAGTTTGAATTATTGGACTATCCACCGTATTCACCAGATTCCACCTTCAGTAACTTTTTTTAGTTTTCCAAACTTAAAAAAGTGGCTTGCTGAACAGCGGTTCATGTCTAATAAGGAGATTATGACATAAACAAATCGTTATTTTGAAGAAGTCCTAAAACTATATTTTTTTGATGGCATTGAAAAACTTAAAAACGTCTCGAATAGTGTATCGAACTAAAAGGAGATTATGCAGGAAAATGAACAGAAATCTACCTAAAAATATAGTTGTTTTATTTTTTCCTTCGGATTTTGTCGACACACCCACGTAATTTTATTATTGTATATTTTATTCATATTAATATCGTTTTATAGAATTTGTTAAAAGAGTAATCAACTCACTACAATGCTAAAACGGAAGTTGTGGCTTACTAAAATAATTTTTCATTTCTTCTTACATTTATAATCGTTCACTAGACTGAACTTAATAACTAAACAAGATGATCTATGATTATTTTATGTAGTATGCAATAGAAATGTTGAAACTTATATTAAAATATTGATTAATTCATCTATTTCTAGATTGAACAGATCCATGACTACGCCTTTATTAACATGATTTTTGCTGAATATAATTAAAATTAAGTGAATTTTCAGCTCTCGCTATTTCCCTTTTTTCCATTATTACAAATTTTATCATTTAAGAAAACTATAAGGGAATCAAGACAGTATGTTACGTATGATTTTTGCATGTCAACAAATACAAATAACAATTTTTAATATTCAATACAGATTAGTCCCCTAATAATAATTTGATAATATACTATGTGACTAGAAATTTTCCTAGTCTGATATTTAAAAAAATTAGTTTCTCTACATGTAATATATCATTTCAAAATTATTAATAATTACAGATTTTTAGTTCGGGCCACTTACTTAGAAATTTATAATGAAGAAATCAGAGATCTCCTGGGTAAGGATCATCGTCAAAAACTGGAAGTAAAAGAAAGACCTGATATCGGTGTCTACGTTAAAGACCTCAGTGGATACGTAGTAAATAATGCAGATGATTTAGATAAAATTATGTGCATTGGAAACAAAAATAGGGTTGTTGGAGCAACCGCAATGAATGAATATAGTTCAAGATCTCATGTTATTTTTACAATAACGATTGAATCAAGTCATTTGGGTGAGGATGGACAGTACCATGTAAAAATGGGTAAATTACATCTTGTAGATCTAGCGGTAAGTAATGTAGAAATAAAATGTCTCGTATCTTATGAAGTTGCTGAAACTACTATACTACTTTATAAATAGATCTATTTGGTTGGAATGTATTCAAACCAAAATATGGCTTCAGAATTGTTCTATCACGTCAAGTTTTTGAGGTATCCTAACCTAAAAGTGCAAAAAGTACTGTTTATTGACATATTTGAGGTTATGTAGCATCGTAAATAAATTTTTTAACAGAAAACTATATAAAGCATCTTAAAGTACAAATCTTTCCCTTTCAAGTGCCATTAAAGTTGTTTAAATATCTTTTTTTTCCGCCAAGATATCGCATTTTGAAATATATATATTTATGAATTTCTCAAAATTCGAAACTCTATTAACCCTTTGAAGCATATGTTTTTTTATTAGCTGTTTTTGCATGAAGAATTTTACTCGAGAATTTTCGGGGTCGCTAAATACGAATCTGCAACAGAATTTCAGTTTTTTCAAAATACAAGATGGCGAATTCAAAATGGCCGAATGGAAAATTTTTCAAATCATAAATTGTGTTATAGGAATAGCAATTTAGGGTTTTTTGAGGTCACTAAATACAGATTTGCTATCAGAATTTGGATTTTTCAAAATCACAAACAAAGAAATCTAATAGAAAAAAGTGTGCTTCAAAAGGTAAATGGTTTTCGAATTTTTAGAAATTCATAAATATAAATATTTCAAAATACAATATCTAGGTGAAAAAAAGAAATATTTGGGTAAACTCAACGACATTCGAAAGGGAAAGATTTATACTTTTACATGCTTTGAATAGTTTTTTATGAAAAAATTTATTTGCGAAGCTACATAACCTCAAATATTTTAAAAAGTAGTGTTTTCCGCTCTTTTAAGTTAGATTTCTCAAAAACCTGACATGGTGGAACGATTCTGAGTTAAGATTTGGATTTAGCTCACCAAAATTCTTCAGAAATACAATAGCTTATTTATGATTCAGAAAATGATGGATTATTTGTATACCTATGTAATTTGAAAAATAGAGGACTATGTTACATAAAATAATCTTGTTTCTGATGCTGACAAAGTTTAATACTCTACTCGAAATCATTAGTGCACCAAGCATTGGAATAATATACAAATAAAAACATATCAAGTACAATAATGGTAACTGATTATCACAATAGACTTTTATAATGGGATTTTTGCTCAGGAAAATCAATTCTGCAAGCTACTCGTCATATAATTAAGTTGAAGAGACAGGAAAAGAATGATGATATGATGTGGACCACGCTGGGGGTTATAGCAAAACCCGGCCTGACAGTTTTACTAGGCTAGGCAGCGAAAAATTTAGGCATCACCTCTACAAAGAGTGTTGTGTGTTCAATGACCAGCTGTAATCCACGAAAGAAACGAGCGCAATCGCAATGTGAAGGCGGACGAAGATATCGATTAGAGTCAGATATGGAGTAGGCGCGAGCTAATGATAACACATAGATTTAAGTGTTACAAGTTAACATTTAAAAGGGAAAATAAACAACAAAAAAAGAAAATTATACAAAAGAATATAGCGTAACGGCAGTCAATGAGAGAGTGATTAAGCGAGGAAGTAGAAAGAAAGACAGTTAACGAATCGGTATTTACATTATGTGCGCAGATCATACCATGGATAAAAATGTGTTTGTTTATTTTAAACTATCATTGTCTTTACGAAAAAGCAAGTACTAGATACGGTAGGATCGCTACGGGATCCGCAATTCCCTCTCGTTTGAATTGTGTTGACCACGAATGAGACTCCCTACGATTTTCGTTTTTTCCTCATTCGCTAAACTTTCTCAACTTTTTTCTACTTCTCTTTAGTTCTTTGCCTGAGTCTATCATATCTGCTTTCTTCCATTCCCAAATCGTTAATAACACAGATCTGCAAAAAAAAAGTTTTGAGTTATCGCAAGAACGCTATTCATGTATTCTGAAGGTTTTTGATGCGCTGAACACGAATCAGGCATCAGAAATGCTCTATCACGTCATGTATTTAAGATATTCTAACCTAAAAGTGCGAAAAATACGTATTTTCGCCGTTTTAGAAACTATATTACACCGCAAAACAATTTTTTTGCTAAAAACGAATCTAACCATCTCAAAGTAACGCTTCTGCTCTTTCCAACGCATTTTTCAAATTTAATAAATCTTTTTTTTTCGCGGAGATATCATCGAATGAAGTTCACCACTTTAACGATTTCATAACAACAGTACCAACAATATAAATTTGACAGCCCCACGAAAAAAAGTCATATGTGAACAAAAGTGCAAAAGGAAATACCATTACATTTATGTTTTTGGGGTCGCTGAATCCGAATCCACGATTTATTTGACCCGATTAGCTGAGGGGTCAAATTCAGATCAAGGTTAAATCAAGATTATCCCATTAATCTTGGTCCAGGTACTGTTTCTATAGGTTTTTGAGGTCGCTGAATTCGAATCTGGGGTGCGTTTGACCTGGTCGGCTCAGAGTCAAGGTTAGGTCAAGGTAAAATCCAAAAAATTGCATTGAATAAACCCGAATTTAAGGTTTATCTGACCAATAACCCCCTAATATTTCTATGGCAATGTTAGCAACCCCCTAATAACCCTCTAATAACCCCCCTAATATAAACTATTCTATAAACATCCTAATAACCCAATGGCAATCCTATCAACCTCATATAATGCAATGGCAGTACCATCAACCCCTAACAACCTCCTAAGAACCGCATTAATAAGAACTATGCTATGAACCCCTTAATAACCACATTAATAAGAACTATGCTATGAACCCCCTAATAGCGCGATGGCAATCCTATCAACCCCTTAATAGTGCACAGGAAAACGTTACTCCTTTCGATCAAGCGGGATTTTCACAACAGGATAGTTGTGAGTTCGGTTTCCGTTGATCATACGCACTTCTTTTCAACGGTCCTTTTCAGGATAGTTGAGAATTCTACTTTGGTCCACCTTACGCGCATCTTTTCAACAGTCCTTTTCAGAATAGTTGAAAGGTTCGGCGTATTTCTTGCGATCGAGCGGCATTTTATCGACAGTTCTTTTCAGGATAGTTGAGAATTCTGCTTTGGTCCACCTTATGCGCATCTTTTCAACAGTCCTTTTCAGAATAGTTGAAAGATTCGGCGTACTTCTTGCGATCGAGCGGCATTTTCTTGACAGTCCCTTTCAGGATAGTTGAGAATCCCAGTTGAAGTTTCTAGTAATCTTCATCGTCCTCGTGTTCCTGAAATCTATTTTATAATGTCTCCCCGGAGTTGCGTGAACGATCCTAACAAGTTCTGTAACGTATGTGGACTTTATGCTACTAAAAACCAAAGGAGAAACATTACGCTTTCAATCGAAACTGCTTACAAAAACTATTTCGGCTATTTTATTGTGAATGTAGACAAATCTTGGGTGCCAAACACAATTTGTGTAAGTTGCCATACAATATTAAGTCGTTGGAATAAAGACGACTCTTCGCAAAAATTGCCTTTCAGTTCTCCGATGATCTGGCGTGAGCCACGTGATCATAATGACTGTTACTTTTGTTCTATTGACCTGAATGGTTTCAACAGTAAGAATAAATCTGCAATTTTGCATCCTAATGTCTCATCTGTTACTAAACCCGTTTTACGGGGGACTCTTGTCTGCGAGAAATCATCACCCCTAAAGAAGGCAGAATGTTTACCTACTACTTCCAGGAGCCCAGACGAAATAAATGATATCGAGGTGGACGACGAAGATCCGCAGTCAGATGATAGTGCACATTTCGATACAACCGAAAGTCCTCAATTGTTTACACAAGCGCTTATAAATAATTTGGTTAAAGATTTGGACCTGCCAAAAAATAAATCAGAATTGTTAGGTTCTAGGTTGAAAGAATTGAATCTGTTGGCTCCAAAAACAACTTTTTTTTGGTACAGAAACAGAGAGCAAGAATATATCAGATATTTCGCAGAGAAAGATGGATTGACTTACTGTCATGACGTGACTGGCTTAATGACAAAATTAGGCTTGATATACGTTGCTACTGAATGGCGTCTCTTCATCGATTCTTCTAAAAGAAGTTTGAAGGCTGTCCTCCTTCACAATGGAAATAAATATGCTTCGATTCCACTCGCCCATTCAGTGTATCTAAAAGAATCTAACGAGAATATGCAGATAGTTTTTGAGAAAATTAAATATAAAGATTATAAATGGCTCATATGTGGTGATTTGAAAGTAATAACTATACTTCTTGGACAGCAGTCGGGGTATACCGAATACCCATGTTACATTTGTTTGTGGGATAGTAGAGCTACTACACGTCATTGGGAAGAATCTAAGTGGCCACTTCGCACGTCTCTGAAGCCAGGATCACACAATGTTCTCAAAAAACCCTTGTGTGATCCAAAAAAAATACTTTTACCTCCCCTCCACATAAAATTAGGATTGATTAAGCAATTCATCAAAGCCCTTGATCAGAATGGAAAATGCTTCCACTACTTATTGGATAAATTCCTAGGATTATCTAATGCAAAAATAAAGGAAGGTATTTTCACAGGTCCGGATATAAGAAAGATGATGAAATCGGCTGATTTTCAACAATCAATGACAAGAAAAGAGAAGGCTGCATGGGTGAATTTTGCAGCTTTTTTTGGATTTTTGGGAAATAGAAAAGTAGAAAATTATCACGTAGTCGTTCAAAATATGCTTACCAGTTTCAAAGAGTTGGGTTGTAACATGAGTTTAAAAGTACACTTCCTGAATTCTCATTTAGATTCTTTTCCTGAGAATCTTGGAGCCCTAAGTGAGGAGCAAGGAGAAAGATTCCACCAAGACATCCAAGAGATGGAAAGAAGGTATCAAGGTAGATGGAATGTTAATATGTTAGTTTACTACTGCTGAGCTCTTAAACGTGAAGATGATGGTCTACAGCATAAGAGAAAGTCAGGAACCAGAAGCCTAGACGAAAAAAGGAAACGATTCCACAAATCAGAAAATTGATAACATTGAAGCATCTG